CCGGTAGTGAGGAAATGCACACATCTCCAAATTGTGCATGCAGGCTGTTTGCTGTCAAACCAAGAAGCTGTGAGTTTTTCTGTATTTGCCGAAATAAATGAACAGAACAGATCGCTTTATCAGAGTAAGATGATAGAACGGGGTTTCATGCCCAGCAGAATAAACTGGATGGTAAACAAGAATACTTCTATTGCCTCCTGTTACTCATATGAAAGCCTGAAACCTTTAGACTTTCTTTAGATATGATAAAAGACGATATGATGTGTCTGTCATGGCGGTGATGTTGGGATCGATTCACAGGAAAGTTGCAGGAATAATTTTTACCTTTATACTGAGATCAGGTTGTTATTATTATTAGGTTAGATTAGGATTAGATTAGGTTTTTATTATTATTAAGTCCAGCAATGTGGAGGACTTAAAGACAACAGGACAGTTGGTGAAAAATAGTCCAGTTTTGATTTTTGTCCTGATCTCCTAGATCAGGGGTCACCAACCTTTTTAAGGCTGAGGGCCACTTCAAGGGTACCGAGACTTAGGAAGGGCGACCATTACTGACCCATGAGCTGCAAGGGTTAGCGTTAGCCTAAACTTTGTTCATTATCAACCTATTTTTATTGTTTCTGTTCATTTCTAAGTTTATTTAGACATTGTCATTTTGAAATCTCTAGAATAAAATAAAATTTCAAACTTAGCCCACTGGTGGGTTGTTCTTTATTTAGAAGACTCTGAGGGCCCCCCATGTGGTCCTTGAGGGCACCGCGTTTGTGACCCCTGCTCTAGATATTGTGTGGTATGTATTCAGAAAGTACAGTCAACCAGCAATAAAGTTTCTTTTTTTAAGCTTACAGCATCCCTGGATGTGATTGGCTGCAAAACGCTCCAGTTCTGATCCTCCAACTCTTATTCTACCCAGTTTTGACTAAACACAGGGATGTGTGCTTTCCAAATTTTCTGACATTGGATTCATGGCATCCGTTTAAATTCAGTATTTTGGACCTTTAGACTCCATCGTTCCTCCTGATACTGTCTTATCATGCTCTTTCTTCTTTTGCTTTCTCATGTATCATCTCCCCTCTATTTTCTTTTGCATGCCTTTTCCACCCTACTCCCCCCGTTTCTGCTTCTCTCCTTACATTTTGATCACATTCCTACTCTTCTTCCATCTTGATTTCTGCACAACTTGCAATTTAAACCCAGATTTTGTATTTTTATAAAAAGGAATTTGCTACGCTGATTTAATATATTATGTGTGCAGTTGAAATGAATGTTTTCTTGATCAGTGACCCTCTAGAGGTTCAGTTAGATTCATTATACTGTAGTCAGATGGGAAGAAACCGACTTTCTTGAACAGAAAAAATAGCAAAAAACTTTAATGTCACTTAGGGGTTCTGGGACTGTTTGTTTTAGAAGTAGCCAATTAAGGAAGCAGGAACGCCTAAAGTAGGTGTTTGTTTTTAGCACTTAACCTAATTAGATCAAACCCCGGGGAGCATGTTTTCACCCCAAAGACACAAGACAGATCGCATCTGCAGCTTCCTGCCGTCATACAGACAAAAATACCATCATGTATCAACATATTTCTATCAGAAAACATGTCCTGAATAAAAACAAAATAGCTGGAGGAAAATTCACACATTAATGAAACTTATAACTATGTAAAATACTTATTTCCTCTTCAGAGTTTTTTTTTTTTACACAAAAATGACCTGAATTTATTCAACAGTTGTTTAAAATATGATACAAACTGTGATCATTTGAAGAAATCATTCACATCTAAAAACACCTAAAACCCTGCAGACCAGAAAAAAACACAAACTTTGACATTTGCTAAAACCATCAGCTGTCAGTAGTCACACATGGTGGTGGTAGTGGGATGGTCTGGGCCTGCTTGAGAAATAATCATTATAATTATTCTAATTATTCATAATATAATTATGAGAAACATAATTTTACTACAAAATCCCGAGCTCTACCTTCAGTTTGGGACTTTAGAGGTTCATAGTCATGTTATTCGTCAATTTTTTATTTATAGACCAGTACCTCCCTCTGGTTTTATTTTTCTTTTACTGACAAATTACTGCATCCTGCTGGTTTAGTATTTTATATTTTTGTCCTTTCAGCTCTTTTTTTTTGCCATTTTGTTGGTAAATATATCCTTTCTGTGTATATATACTGGAACGGTATTACATCGCTGTAGTTATACTGCCCCCTTGTGGACTTAAAGGTTGCTCACATATTTGTCCTCTTCAGAATGAGCAGTTTAATGTGTTGCTGTATTGTGCTGAACAACATCAATTTATTCTAAGAAATCCCAGATCTGTCTAGTTTTGTTCAGGAAACAATTTTATTGTTAAATGAGAAGATTTCTGCTGCTCAGTTTGTGACAGATCGATGAGAAAAAAAGCTTTTTACTTTCCAGAAAGGCACAAAGTTGAAGACTCTAAGTTGTGACAATCCTGGATAAATCTTCTGTCACCAAAAGGTTTAGGTGAATTTAAACGAACTTGAGAAGTAAAAGAAGCCGAACTTTAATAAGATCTGACCTAAACCGTGTTTATTCTAACCCTGACTTCCTCTCTGATCCTGTTGTTCTGCTTCGGTTCCTCCCCCTGAAGCCCTCCTGAGACCAAGGACTCCTCCATCGACTCGGCCGATGCTCAGCGCCAGGAGTGGTTCGCCCAGTACTTCTCCTTTTGATTGACCAGAACTTGGAAAAAGGATTCAGCATGTCAACCAAACTTAAAGAAAAACATTCGAGAAAAAAAAATCTTGGGGAAAAAAAAAAATAGAAAAATTGTTGAAACTATTTGTTATTTATTGTCATTGAAAGGTTTGGGTTCAGTTTGCTTCATTTTCAGTCAGAGCGGAGCCTTATTGAGCGTCAGTGAAGCACGCCAAGTCATTTATTATCACTTTTGGCAGAGATGTAAAGGCGACTGAGCTCCTGCTGACTGGGAGGAAAGTGAAGTGAACCCGACCCTGGCATCAGATGTCTTCACTCTGATCTGATTGTTTCACTGTGGACGAGTTTCTCTCTTAGTACAGTGATAATAATCATCTCTATGTTCAATGTTTACTTTCTTTACTTTCTGATTTCTGTTGCAGTTTCTTTGAGCTAGAAAGCGCCGAGTGGTGCAATATCATGCTGCTAAATGCCATAGTTGGATTAAAGTGAGAATTAAATATATATATAAAAAATAAATAAATGGTAGGTAATTGTGCTTTCTCTCTCTCTCTATCTCTCTGTATGTGGGTCTACTGCACACAGCATTTTAGACTAGGAGGGCTGATCCAAGACCAGTTCCCCCTCCTTCTTTCTGGTGACATTCACCTGATCCTAGATCAGTTACGCGTCTCCATGAATACAGGCTCGGACTTTAGGATGGTTTGTTACAGCTGCGTAGACGTTTCAGCAGATTTTGGTAGAATATTCAAACCCGTTTGTATGGTTGTCTGTCTCAACACAGATATAATGATGTCTCACTGATTTTAAAAACAAAATAGCATTTTATATTTATAATATAATGTGTATGCTTAATAAAGAATTATTGTGACATTTAGCTGGTCTGTCATTTGTTTGACTGAAATTAGGAAGAAAATGTAAATGGTTTATTTTAATTTGTTGTTCAAAACGTGTTTTTTGTTTTATACCCCCCCCTGCAATCTTTTCCACTAATTGAAATGTGTTTGAATAAACATTAACATGAATTCAACACACTGTAGTAAACAGATAAATGGAGGCAGAAGATGTCTTTCAGTCATCAATGCACGCATTCAGCGACACACAGGAGCTCTTTCAAGCTGGGCACCTTTTCATTCACAACACCTGTTCCATCAACCAGGAATCAGAATAAATTCACACTTGAAAAAAATAGAAATCTAGAAAAGTCATTTTATCTTAAAATAAATACATTTGTTCTTGGGTTGAGGAGGTAAAAGAGACATTTTGCTGATGGAACAAAAGAATTTATCTTATTTTAAGAGTAAAAATACTCATTCAATTAGCAAAATATCTCATTTACCTACTCAAATTAAGGGTAAATACACTTAATTTAAGACATTTTTACTTATTTCTAGATTGCTTTTCCAGTGCAGAAATATTTTAATAATCCCAGGGCAAAATTACTTTTGTTACATGACTCCATCTGTAATATAGTGGCTATAGGACCAGTTTGATATAACACACTTTCATACAATATATATAGGGGGTCACGGCTCCATCTCGCCATCAGTTTGGGGGTCCTTGGCCTGGAAACTGTTAAAGACTCCTGACGTAAATTATCTAAACTATCATTAAACAAATTAAAGTATTGCACTTCTTTATTTACCTCTATTTACCAGTGGCGTCCCACCATCCCAATGACCTTGATTAAGACATAAAAAACATAAATTAAAAATGTATATTTTATGATTTATATTTATAAAATATTTTGAATATATATTGATATATATATTTTTTTTAGATGTGCAAGATAAATATTTAAGCTTTTGCACTTTTTTAGAAAAGGCACAGAATAATGAACAATCTGGGATTCAAACAATATAACAGTGTGCTTTTTCTAGGAGTTTGTTAATTTGCATAGTTGCTCTTAAATAAACACAATCTCAGAAAATAAGTACTTATTAAAAAATATAAAGCTGACTAATAGCTTCTCCATTATTAATCTGGAATCTTTTTTTTAGGTTTGAGACACAATATTGGACCATGCGAAACACAAATTTGCCTCCACAAAGCCTTAGAAGGGCAACATTTATGTACAAAAAGTAAACCTGTACATGAAATTGTTTATGTATATATATATATATATATATATATATATATAGTTTATAGTGCCCTATAAAGGTTTAAAGTCTAACAAGGTTCAACATTTAAAATATGAAGACGGAATATTAAGTACATTTTTTGGCTGCAGTGATTCATAGGGTAGTGCTATACAACAAGGAGCCGCTAGAGGGCGCCATAAATGTTGGGGATTCTTTTTTCTGATGACGTAATTTGAAACCGGAATCAAAATAAAGCGGAATCCGGTCCAGCTTGAAGATGGCAGTCACCGGTGCCGGTTCGCCCAGCCGCCTGGTCCAGTACGTGGTGGTCCGCTCGGATCTGGTCCACCAGTTATCGTGGCCGCTGGGGGCGGTGATCACCCAGGCCTGCCACGCCGCTACCGCCGCGATCCACCTCCACTACGGCGACCCGGACACCCAGCGGTACCTGGAGGAGCTGGACTCCATGCACAAAGTGGTTCTGGGGGTGAGAGTTTGATCACTGTGGATGAATAAAAGGCGCTGATGAGAATAAAAAGCTGATGTTTGTTTCTGCTCCGCAGGCTCCGGATCAGGCCGCTCTGTCCGGACTCTCAGACACTCTGACTCAGGCTGGAGTTTCACACAAACTCTGGATCGAGCAACCGGAAAACATCCCCACCTGCCTGGCCCTGAAGCCTTACCCCAAAGAGACAGTGCAACCGCTAATGAAAAAGTTTAAATTGTTCAAATGACTTCGCAGAAAAATTATTTTAAAAAATGTCCACTGGGTGGCGCCAAAAACAAGCTTCAGGTGTTTACCTAATTCACTGTTTACACGATTAATTTCTTGTAAAATGCAGTTTGTCTCAATAAAAAATGGTCAAACTGTCAGTTAGACTTTGTGTGATCAGAATTTTCGACATGTTTTTTGTGTTCCTTAAACTTGGTTACTAAATATTTCAATATATTAAAATCAGTTGCTTGTTTTGCAGAAAACAGGAGGTTAACGTCACAGCAGTATTTTAGATTTAACTCTATGGAGACTTTTGTTTTTGAGGATTATTACATTATATTTGATTGTAAATCCCCCCCCCCCCCCCCCCCCCCCCCGGTCAAAGGGGCTATAGAGAATAAAAATGTCACAATCTGGCTCAATGGCAGAGGAAAGAGACAAAACATTGACTGTTACATTTATAGGAAAATCAAACTGATTAATTTAACTGAATAAAAAATGCTCAAACTAATGTTTGAAAAAATAAATGGTATTGCTGTTATTTCACAGGTTAAGATGTGCCTCTAACAGATGTATTTCTAGAAACTAAGAGTTTTGCTCATTCTATGAAAGAAATCTCAGACTCTGTCAGATTGGATAGAAACATCACCCTTCAAAGGTTTTTCAGATATTCTCACTCGAACTTGGGTCTGGACTTTGACTAGACCAATTAAGTCAAACATTCTTTAATCCAAACCTCTCATTAAAGCTGTGGTGTTGATATCCTGCTGCACCACCTGTCATTGCTCCGGTTTCCTTCCTGGATCTGGCCTGATGCTTCCACCAAGTTAAGGCCTGCAGCTCCTCCAGAGCGACCATGGGCCTCTGGGCTGCTTCAGATTAACACTTCTCTGCTTGTTCTGTAAGGTCAGAGGTCATCAGTATTGTTTAATCTAACTGAACAACAGTTGTTTAGAAACACAACAGCTGTATGAGCTTTCATAAACTATTTTTAACAATATCTACAATATTTGCTTAGATTTTTAAAGATCATATTTTCAGGTTTGGCTTTAAGATTACGAAAATCCTACTTTTACATGAAAGGGACTTAATGCATTTTCTTTAATAGATCTTAACATTTTAACACGATTTGTAACCAAGGGAACAAAGTGTTTCTTTCACTAAAAGATTATGAAATCAGTCTTTGCTAAATGTATTAAGAGCTGAGGGGGGTGAGCTCTGTGGGCTTTTCAAAGCTTTGGACATTGTTTTATAACCTCACCCTACTTTAAACTTCTCCACTACCTTCTGGATTTAATAATGTATCCTTTTGGTTTATTATAGGATATTATACTAATGATAGAATCTAATGAGAATAATGCGAGCTGCACATTTTAGATTTTTATTTATAGATTCCTCCTTCCAGTTAACAGCGACTCACTGTTTCGTGTTACATGATCACCTAATTTCCACCAAATGCATCAAAGTATTTTAGGCCATATCAATATTTTTTGCATGACACTGCAAATGTTTTTACATCCATCCTGTTTCAGGTAGAAAATTAGATTTAGAATAAGTGAAACGTTTAATTTCACATCATGTAAAGCTGCAGTGATGGACCTGAAATGATTTATTCTTATTTTTACCCCAGAAAGATGCAAAGAAAAACACCAAAAAATGAAAAGTTCCTCATAAAAGGTTTGATTTGGACGAAGGTGTCGACTTTATTCAGTTGGTTCAACATGAGATCTGTGATTTCTACCTCGGTTGGACGCCGTGTGTTGCTACTTTAGGATTATTTGATCAGGAAAATCCGGATTTTTCAGCAAACATTCTTTCTCCTCGGCCTCAGTTCTATGATTAATTTAAAGATTTTAGCAGCTGCTCATCCTAAAATGTTTAACTCTCTCTAAGAGGATATCCATGACCTGGTTTTTCCACCCGAGCATCTGCTCTGAACCAGCAGTCGGGCCATGAACCATAGGTGCTGATGCCTCCTCCATGAACACCCATCATTTTTATGTCTTGTTAGAAGAAATCAGAAGAAGTTTATCTTTTAAACAAATATTCCTCAACTCTTTAGAAGTTTCTGTTTTGCTGTGGGATAAACCAGAGGCCTGTTTGAAAAAGCAGGATTATCTAAACCTAAAATCGAGAAAACTCTTGATTTTTCCCTTCCACAAAGAGAGTTTACCGTCACCTCTGTGTCTGTTGCCATAGTAACATTATCCTCAGAGATAACCTGATCAGTTGCAGGTTTTGTTGTGTAAACTTAGTGTCCTCTGTCTAAACTCTCCTAAAAGCCAATCACGTTGTTTTATTTTCTGATTTAATCAGCAGAGTTCCCTCGTAGTTTTGTCTTTTAAATGAGGATCAAATTAAAGAATGAGCAATATTAATCAACAGAGAATCAAATAGGCTATTTTTAGGGATGTCCTTTTATATTTAAAAAGTCATCTTTGTGAGCTCTGCTGTTTAACCTCACAATCCTACAGAGCCAAGATCTGACATGTGTGGAAAATGCATACATATAATAACTTGAGCACGAAATACTAATTAGTTCTCTTGGAAAAACTAATCTATGCTCAAACTTCTCATGATTTACTTATTTTTGCATAAAATATGGCGCGCATAAAATTCTAAAACATAATCCTCCTACAGCGCATCCTCTGTGGAAACGAATGACATCTAGACATGGATAATCTGATAGAGTTGTATTTTAGGATCAACTAAAGAGATTCTAATCTGCCTTTGCAGGGATTTCTTATTATTGAGGCATTTAAATACAATATTGATAGCCAGGTTTGACTGATGTGTGCAGAAATGTGCTTTACAATGTGTGGAAAATTTCACCTTTTGGCTTAAGGTCCAATTGAAGGAGGAAAGGATGAAAATATAGATGAAGGCAGAGGAGGAAGAGAGGAGGAAGGACCTTCTCTTTTAGAGGGGACTGCTTTGAAATGACAGGAAAAAAATACTACGACCTTTCGCCTAATACAGGGGTGAAGCTCAAGTCCAGTTCCTAACAGAGGCTCTCCTGCAACTTTTTAAGGTGCTCCATTTTTAACACAAATGAATCAAATAAGTGGCTCTTTGCCATGACTGTGTTGAGCTAAATGAGGCGACTGAGCCTTTAGATTCAACTGGTGCAAAAAAAGGGAAAATACACTTATTTAAAGAACAATTGACATCTTATATTTCATTTTTTTTCATCAAAGGATATTTATTGAGGGCTGCTCAGTGGGGCAGTGCAGCAATAAGGTTTTGGGTTCGATTCCTGGCCCGGGGCTTTCTGCATTGGAATTTGCATGTTCTTCCTGAGCATGCTTGGGTTCTCTCCGGGTACTCCGGCTTCCTCCCACAGTCCAAAAACATGACTGTTTGGTTAATTGGCTTCTCTAAAGTCCCCTTAGGTGTGAGTGTGTGCATGAATGGTTGTTTGTCTCTGTGTTGCCCTGCGGTAGACTGGTGACCTGTCCAGGATATACCCCGCCTCTCACCCATAGACAGCTGGAGATAGGCACCAGCACCCCTTGTGACCCGTGTAAGAAAATGGATGGATGGATATTTTTTATTGAGCTTTTTCCATTTTCTTTTCAACAAAAACAAGACGGCAAACCCTAAATATGAGAACTAATTATAATATAGGCCAAAACATACCTATAGTCATATAAAGCAAAATGAAACGGAAACAAACCAAAAATTCGACATTGGTTGTCCAAACATTCAAAGCCTCTTATTTAGTCAAAATGCATAGGTAGTTGTTTACATGGGAAATAGAATTCTTTCAATTTGAAATAAAAACATAACATCACATATACATCTGCCTGGAACATTTTAAAATGATAAGCAGACGTACCAAAATGAAGGTCTAGGACATACAGTTCAATTGCAGCTTTCTGAAGGAGATATTGTTAGATGATAAACCAAAGAGGTAAATGAAAGGGCATGGATTAACGATAGCACCACACACCGCTGCATAAGGGTCAAAAATTGAAACCAGAATGCCGTTAGGATGGGATAAGACCAAAACACGTGCTAGAGAGAAACAGGTGCTTGTTCTTAAATAGGATTAACGTCAGGGAAGATCTTATATGGAGCCTATGAACATATATTTAATTTTCTGGAAGGGGTTTGTATATTTTTGACCCTTCTAACACAGTCTGCAGTCATTGTGTGATGAGTTTTTTGCAACACAAGCCTGGAAAACGATCATAACCCAAACAAATGTGTCCAGAAATATTAAGTGAGGGCGTGGAAGCCTGGAGGATCTCTTCAGGTTGATAATGTCGTTTTTTTTAGCTTGTAACGGCGGGATGAAGAAGTACCCTCAGTAAATTTCCACTATGCGCTCTGTGGTTGGCTCATCTGAACAGAACCATATCTTTGTATGTTTTCAGCCTTCCTGCCTGTAGACTCGACATGACTCTCCCTGATGTTTCCCAGCCGACCTTGCTGTTTCACCTAAATATCTGTTTCCTTCCCTTTGCCCCTGCACTTTGATAGTGGGGTGTTTTAATGCAGATGTTGACTCTATGACTCTGCGTTCCTGTGTTTTATCAGGAAAACAAAATGAAGGCAAACCCAATAATGCCAAAAAAATATCAAAGCTGCCTGCCTTGACCTGCCTGATTATTCTGTCCTCATGCAGCTTATTAAATGCAGCAGTTTTTTCCTCTGTGATGTATTCCTTCATTTTGCTTTTAATAGTGACCATGTTTCCCTGAATGTTCTCAGACATTTTCAAATATTTAGGTCCATTACATCAACAATAATCTAGTGAAAGAGTAGATTTTTTTATCTTTTAAAATAACTCTAACAACATGTAATACATATTTCTATATCAGATAAAGTTTCTAGTTTTTTATTCAAAGTTTTTTGCTTTTTTTTGCACAAGCTGCAAAAACTTCACTGTAAAAAAATCAAAATCTAGATAAGTCATTTTTTCTTAAAATAAGTGCATTTCTTCTTAAATTGAGAAGATTAAAAATTAGTTTGCCAATGGAACAAGACAATTTAGATTTAAAATAAGAAAACACAATTGCATTGTCTT